CTCTCTGAGGAGAGATATCTAAGGGAAGCCCTAAGTCAAAAGGGGAGACAAAAACAAAGACACTATAGAGGAATTTGAAGCCTCAGGGACCTACAATACAGCAAACTTTTAAACACAGCTCAACCCCTAGCCAGATTAACAGAAATTCTCATACTAGAGGCTTTATTTACCTCAGTTCCTATTACCCAAAACAGCCGATACTGTAAAGCCTTCAACAAAAAATTTACAAGCCACGCCAAAATACAAGAAAAACGTAATCTGAAGAGACAAAACAAGCATCAGAACCAGACGCAGATATGACACAGATGTTAGAATTATGAGGCAAGGAATTTAAGATAATCATGTTTAACATGTTAAGGTTTCTAAAGGAAAAACGTCGACAACACACAAGAATAGATGATAAATGTAAGCAGAGATGGAAATTCTCAGAAAGTAGAAAATGCTAGAAATAAAAAGTACTATAAGAGAAATATAGAATGCCTTGAGAAGCTTCATTCTCCCTGAGGGAAGAGACTTCTCCCCCCTCTTCCTTTCCTTTTAGAACTTCTTGCTCTGTCCTTTTCATAGATAAGTAAATCTTCATAATGGTTAGATAAGCCTCTTGTCAGTCTTGCAACTCAGAAATGTTTTCTGAAGGACTTGGGAGCCATCTTTTTAAAATGCAAACTTCAAGAGAGATAACTCCCTTACCTCCCAGGCCCGTGGGAGAGAAAGAGCCTAACTAAGTGGGCACCTCGCTCCCATTTGCAAACTACCACCTGTCATAAAAATGTAAGAAGTTTGTCTCCAGTCTTCCTGAATTAAGTGAAGGTAAAATAAAAATCGTATTTTTCTTACTCTTAATTGATCTAAAAATAGTTATTTAAATTAATAGTACCAATGTACTGGGTAATTATAGCATGTGGATAAGTGAAATGAATGACAGCAATGTCACAAAGAACAGGAAGGAGGAGGAAGGAATTAGGAATCCTGTTATAAGGTACCTGCATTATATGTGAAACAGAACAGTGTTATTTGAAGGTGGCTTTAGATTAGTTAAAAAGGTAAAGTATATTTGATACACAACAGAAGAAATAAAAGAGCTCATATAAATTGCTCAATCAAAACTAGAGAAGGCAGGAAAAGAAGCCTCTAGCAACAAACAGAAAACAGTTACACACATGGTTAATCCAAGTATATCCAAAATCACTTTAAGTGTGAATAGTCTGCACATACCAATTAAAAGACAGAGACTGTCATTTGGATAAAAAAAGAAGACCCAACTATAAATTATTTATGGGAAATCCTAGACATAGATTAAAAGTAAAGGGATAAAGAAAGATACCATGCTAATCAAAAGACAGCTGGAGTAACAATATTAGTTTAAAGACAAAGCAGATTTCAGAACAAGAAAAATATCAGGAATGAAGAGGGGCATTACATGATGATGGGTCAATTCCCCCAAAAGACATAATAACCCTAAATGTGTATGCATGCACCTAACAACAGAGCTTCAAACTATGTGAGGCAAAAACCAATAGAACTGCCAAGGAGAAACAGAGAAATCACCTATTATAGTTGATGTCATCACTTCTCTCTCAGTAATTAATAGAACAAGCAGGCAGAAAATATGGATATAGTTGACCTGAATAGCATTATCAATGAACTTGATATAATTGACATTTATAAAATAATCCACCTAACAAAAGCAGAATACATATTCTTCCCAAGCTTGCATGTAATATTCACTAAGATCATGTTTTGGGCCATAAAATACACCTTTTAAAAAAAGCAATAATAGAAAGATAGCTAAAAAATCCCCATATATTTAGAAATTAAACAACACACTTCTGAATAATAAGTCTCTGAATAATAGGTCAAAGAAAAAGTCTCAAGAGGGAGAGAGAGAGAAACATCAATGTGAAAGAGAACCGCATGCACCACACCTTCACCAGGATCGAGCCCACAACCAGGGCATGTGTCCTGACCGGGAATTGAACCAGGACCTTTCGGTATGTGGGACAACACTCAACCAACTGAGCCAGCTCCTATGGCTCTTCTTAATCCCCCATCTCCTTCCATAGTTTCCACCGAAGATGCTGTATCCAAAAAAACCAATCTCTCTCAAACTCAGTCACAAGGCTGCCTTCCCCACTCTGAGAACTGCCACTCACCCTTCTCACTTGGCCCGAAAGCCCTCTTACAGCCATTACGATAACATGATACTGATGAACACAAGTCTATATTTGAGCTCACCTTCCACTGGCCTGCATAACTAGATGTTGGTCTTGTGTTGACTGCCACACCTTAATCATTACCATCATTATTAAAATCAGTAATATAAATTCTGGAATGGGAAAATATAGCTATAAAGGACTTAACTGGGACAACTATGACATTTTAGCATATGGACTATGGATTAGATGGCATGTTTCAATCTTAAATTTCCTGATTTTGATAACTGTAATGTGATTATATAAGAGAATGTCATTGTTCTTATAAGTACTGAAATATCCAGAGCAATGAGGCATGATGTCTCTAATTCTCAAATGATTCAGAAAATATATACACACACACACTCAGAATGTCACAGAAAACAACTGGTGAATTTGGAAAAAGGGTATAATGGATTTCCATGTACTATTTCCCGTAAGTTTAAAATTACATAAAATTAAAAAATTATAACTGAGTTACTAACATCTATTGATGTTTGCTTTCTATAGGATTAAATAAATCATCTCATTTAATCCTTTTAAAATTCTATAAAATAGGCACTATTTTTATTGCTATTTTACAGCTATATATACAGGTTATGAAAACTTTCCCCAGAGTCACATAGCTGAGTGGAGACAAGATTTCACCCTAAGTCTGTTCCAGAGTCAAAGCTCCTAAATGTTGCCTAGCCTGTCAACCTTATTGTATAATCTTTTCCTCCCAACCTTAACAAAGAAGCTATTATTTGGGTTCCAACCACTGTTACCCACTAAAACATCATAGCACTTATTCTCTTCCCAGGCCTCAGGACATGAGAGAATTCATCCCTAAAGTCAGGACTAGTAATAAAAACTTCATCAAAGCCGTCGTCAGCACCAACATCAAGAACCTAGAAATCATCCTATAACCTTAATTTTCCTTTAAAAAAACCAAACCTTGAAGTGCAGTCAGTTCAGTTGCACTTAGGTATGTCCAAATTTTTGGACAATTCACAATAAAAATATTTTCAATTATATTTATTATACATAAAACTCATGCTTAACAGGTTAGCTTCCCTAGAGAGACTGAAAGCTCAATGCTAAGAATCTAATCTACAAGACCTTGCTGTGTTCCAGCCAGGACAGCAATGTCACCATGGGCAAGCACCAGACAATGGGAATAGTCTCACAGTATAGAATGGGATGCTAGAATGGCGCTTAGAAAAACATAAAGATTCTACTTATACCAACAGCGGAAATGTATATTCTTGAAATATACATTAGCTACTGACAGTCTCTTGGGGGAACTGTCTATGTTCTTATCTGTCATCAGATGGATCTGAGACCATGATGTAACTGCCATGGTTAAATGTAAAATTGGCTCTTTCCCAGTCAGGAGAATTATGTAGTCAGGATCCTAACACCTACTACATAAAACTATAAAGGACTCATTTTGAAGTCACAATCAGCAAATAAGAACAAGTAAAAGAGAAACAATAATTTAGCTATATAAAGTTCCTAATTCTGGTAAACAGTAAAACATTAATGTCAGGCCATTACTTCTAAATTTCCAAACACTCAGATATGTGTTTCCTAGTTGATATAAAATTAAAATAATGACAAGTATATGGACTCTTATATTTATGATAAAATATTATACAATATGGACATAATGGGAATATAATTTTTAACTTATTCAATTTTACTTATTAGAACTCTTCTATGGTTAAGTTTATAACAGTCCATAAAATCACTTCTAGGAGTGAGCAAACACTACAGAAATATCTAGTTACTCTATCATATCGTTCACTTGTACTGAGCTTGAAATTAACTGTAAATGAAAGCAATCCTTTTATGCGTATTCACTCAAATACCTGTCCACCCTGGTATACTCTCAAACTCATGTAACTAATTTTTTTTCTGCCATTCATCTCCGTTCATGTTTTTTTGGTTCGGCCTTTTGATTCAACTTGAGATAACTATGAATCTTTAACATAAGTATGTTGATCCTACTTTCGATACTTACACCTTCTCTCTGTTCAGTGGGCCAGAGGCAGCTGAGTTCAGAGCCCTGGGGAAGACTAAACTTCCCATAAGTGAATATCGATTAGTTACTAACAAAAATACTGGTAATAATAATTATTATATACAGATAATTAGTACATACTAAACATTAATATGTGCCAGGCACTGTTCTAAGCACTGTACAAGCAATATACCATTGATTCCTTACAATAACCTTATGAGGTAAGTATCTATGTACATTTTCTAAATGAAACAAGTGAGGCATTGAAAAGTTAATTTTCCAGGGTAAAAAGAGCTATAAAGTGGGGCACTGGATTTGACTTCAAGTGGGGGGCCCATACTTTTAACCGCTAGGACATACTACCTCTCAATTTGGATGTACAGTAAGTAATAAAATGAAACTTTACTCCAATAGCTGGAAATAATAGTGTAGACTTTTACATTAAAAGTTAATTCAATAGCCTTGGCCAGGTAACTTGGTTGGTTGGAGCATCGCCCATACCCCAAAAGGTTGTGGGTTCAATTCCTGGTCAGGGCACATACCTAGGTTGTCAGTTCGATCCCTGGTTGGGTCACATATGGGAGGAAACTGATCGATGTTTCTCTCTCTCCCCCCCTTCCTCTCTTTCTAAAATCAATAAAAAACATATCCTTGAGAATTTTTAAAAAAAATTAATTCAATAAATGTAAACTTCTATTTTTTAATGAATAAATAAAGTTATATTGTACTTGATGCCCAAGACACAACTCCTTAGTGAAACCTTTAGGCAGGTGGCTAGAACCAAGTGGGACTGGTACAGGTACCTGAATGCGCTGAGGTGAGGCTACTGCAGAGTCGGTGGAGATTATCTGGATGCGTGGGGAGGGGCTGGTCATCCCTGGAGATTCTGGCCGAGAAGTCTGCGTACGTGGTACCTGTGGGCAAAAAGTGGGCTGGATCATAAGGGAGCTCAGAAAGATGCCCAGTAGTGGCCTAAGGACCATGCTTTTCGCTTTCACAGCGGCTTTGAGTGATAAACTAGTGTAGTTCTAGAGTATGGATCCAGGATGACAAAGGAATCAATGAGATACTGATACAGGATGGCACAAAGAAAATACAATCATAAAATAGCTGTTTCTAATGTTGTAAATGCAAGAAAGAAAGAAAAAACCACAAAGGAATTTTCAGGTCTGCTCTGCAAACTTCAATAGAATAAAAAGCTACCAAAATAACTTTTTAGAGATGATCTTTGCATTTATTCAATGTCTCCAAAGCCAGTTATAAAATATTCCTTTAGATGACAGTTTCCAGAAGGAATGCTCTAACAACACTGTAGAAGACGGCAAACAGAACCAGCATTACACTGAAAACTACTGGGATTAGTACCTGTGAAAGAGTCCTGGCAACCTCCCAGCCTCACTGGGATGGGGCTGGGAAAAGCCCATCAGTAATAAAAGGGTCTGAAATTTAGTAAATACCCACCAAAGCAAGGTTCAAGATTCTGAGGGGTCACCTGGGCGCCTGAAGTGAGCAGATATTTTTCCTTGAATAAAAGTATATCATGAACCAATGCTTTAAAAACTCTTCCTGGCCCCCTCAACCCCCTCCCCTCTGAGATATGTCAACCTGTTCTATGCATATCTGTTCTATGCATCCATGCATCTGGGCCTATTTTGTTCATCTGTTTATTTTATTCATTATATTACACATAAAAGTGAGATCATATGATACTTGTCTTTCTCTGCCTGGCTTATTTTGCTTAGCATAAAAATCTCCAGGTTCATTCATGCTGTCCAAAGGGTAAGAGCTCTTTCTTTTTAACAGCCGTATAGTATTCCATTGTGCAAATGTACCACAGCTTTTTTATGCACTCATCTACTGATGGGCACACCTGGACTGTTTCCAGCTCTTAGCTATTGTAAATAGTGCTGCTATGAACACAGGGGTGCATACATTCTTTCTGATTACTGTTTTGAGATTCTTAGGATATATTCTCAGAACTGGGATCGCTGGGTCAAATGATAGTTCCATTTTTAATTTTTTGAGGAAACTCCATACTGTCTTCCACAGTGGCTGCATCAGTCTGTATACCTAACAACAGTGTACTAGGGTTCCCTTTTCTCCACATCCATAGCACTTGTTGCTTATTGATTATTGTAGTTTTAATTTGCATCTCTGATTAGTAATGTTGAGCATTTTTCATATGTCTCTTGGCCATCTGTATGTCCTCTGTGGAGAAGTGTCTATTTAGGTTCCTTGTCCATTTTTTAATTGGATTGTTTGCCTGCTGCTGTTGAGCAGTATGAGTTCTTTATATACAGGGTGGGGCAAAAGTAGGTTTACAGTTGTTCCTATGGAAAGTAATACAATAATTAATAAGTGATAATACAAGAATAGACTGTTTTGCATACTCACAACTGTAAACCTACTTTTGCCACACCCTGTATTTTGGAAATTAATCCATCAGATGCATCATTGGCAAAGATGTTCTCCCATACAGTGGGTTCCCTTTTCATTTTGTTGATGGTTTCCTTATTGGGCGGAAGCTTTTTAAGTTTGATGGAGTCCCATTAATTTGTTTCCTTTGTTTCTCTTGCCCTAGGAGGTGTGTTGGCGAAAATACTGCTACTTGAGATGTCTGAGATTTTACTGCCTATGTTTTCTTCTAGGATTTTTATGGCTCTGTGACTTGAATTTAAGTCTTTTATCCATTTTGAGTTTATTGTGTGTGGTGTAAATTGGTGGTCTAGTTTCATTTTTTGCATGTACCTGTCCAAGTTTACCAACACCACTTATTGAAGAGACTATCTTTATTGTATGCTTGGTCGAATTCTGGGGTCTCTGTTCTGTTCCATTGGTCTATATGCCTGTACACCTGTGCCAGTACCAGACTCTTTTGATTACAATGGCTTTGTAGTATAGTTTGGTATCTGGTATTGTGATCCTTCTTTGTTCTTCTTTCTCAAGATTGCTGAGGCCATCTGGGGTACTTTTTGGTTCCATATAAATTTTTGGAATATTTGTTCTAGATCTGTGAAATATGTTGTTATTATAATAGGGATTGTGTTGAACCTGTAGATTGCTTTGGGTAGTGTGGACATTTTAATGATGTTAATTCTTCCAATCATGAACACAGTAAATGCTTCCACTTGTTTGTATCTTCCTCTATTTCTTTTTCAGTGTTCTATAGCTTTCTGAGTACAGGTCTTTTACCTCCTTGGTTAAGTTTAATCCTAGGCATCTTATTTTTTTGTTTCTGCAATGGTAAATGGGATTGTTTTTTTTTTTATTTCACTTTCTGAGAGTTCATAATTGGTGTATAAAAATGTTATTGATTTCTGGATGTTAATTTTGTATCCTGCTACCCTGCTAAATTCATTTATTAAATCTAGCAGTTTTTTGGAGGAGTCTTTAGGGTTTTCTATGCACAACATCATGTCATCTGCGAATAATAACAGTTTTACTTCTTCCTTTTCAATTTGTAACTAGGACTTCCAGTACTATGTTGAGTAAGAGTGGTAAAAGCAGACATCCCAGTCTTGTTCCTGATCTTAAGGGAAACACTTTTAGTTTTTGCCCACTGAGTATGATGTTGGCTGTAGGTTTGTTATATATAGGCTTTATTATGTTGAGGCATGATCCTTCTACTCCCACTTTGCTGAGAGTCTTTATCATAAATGGGTGATGGATTTTGTCAAATACTTTTCCTGCGATTGCTGATATGACCATGTGATCTTTACCCTACATTTTACTTATGCGATATATCACATTTACTGATTTATGAATACTGTACGAGCCTTGCATCCTGGAATAAATTCCATTTGGTCATGCTGTATGATCTTTTTAACGTACTGTTGAATCCAATTTACTAATATTTTGTTGAGAATTTAAGCATCTATGTTCATCAGGGATATTGGCCTACTATTTTCTTTCCTTGTAGTGTCTTTATCTGGTTTTGGAATTAGGATAATGCTGGCCTTGTAAAAAGAGCTTGGAAGTCTTCCCTTCTCTTGAATTTTTTGGAATAGTTTGAAGAGGACAGTTGTTAATTCTTCCCTAAAGGCTTGGTAAAATTCTCCTGTGCAGCCATCTGGTCCAGACTTTTGTTTGCTGGGAGTTTTTGTTTTTTTTTTAAAATTACTGCTTCAATTTCATTAGTTACTATTGGCCTATTCAGGTTTTCTGATTCTTCCTGGTTGAGTTCTGGAAGATTGTATGTTTCCAGGAATTTGTCCATTTCACCCAGGTTGTCCATTTTATTAGCATATAGTTGTTCATAGTATTTTCTTACAATCCTTTGTATTTCTGTGATGTCAGTTGTTACTTCACCTCTTTCATTTCTGATTTGGGTCCTCTCTCTTTGTTTCTTGATGAGTCTGGCTAAAGGTTCATCAATCTTATTTATCTTTAAAAAGAACCAGTCTTTGTTTCATTGATCTTTTGTATTGTTTTTTAGTCTCTATGTCATTTATTTCCATTCTGATCTTTATTATTCTTTCCTTCTACATACTCTGGGCTTTTCTTGTTCTCTTTCTAAGATTTTAAGTTGTAGGATTAGAGTGTTTATTTGAGCTTTTTCTTGTTTCCTTAGGTAGACCTGTAACGCTATAAACTTCCCTCTCAAGACTGCTTTCAGTGTCCCATAGATTTGGGGTTGTTGTGTGTTCATTTTCATTTGTTTCCAGAAAGTTTTTTATTTCTTCTTTGACCTCATTTGTAACCCACTCATTGTTTAATAACATGCTATTTAGCCTCCATATGTTTGAATGGTTTTGACTGTTTTTATTGTAGTTGATTTCTAGTTTCATGCCACTGTGATCCAAGAAGATGCCTGATGTAATTTCAATCTGTTTGAATTTGTTAAGACTTATTTTATGTCCTAACGTGGTCTATTTTTGAGACCATTCCATGAGCACTTGAGAAAAATGTATATTCTTGTGCTGAATATCAATTAAATCCATCTGATCTAGTGTGTCATTTAAGATCTCTGTTTCTTTGTTGACTTTTGTCTGGAAGATCTATCCAGTGATGTCAGTGGGGTGTTAAAGTCCCCTTCTATGACTGTATTGCTTTCAACCTCTCCCTTAAAGTCCACCAAGAGTTTTTTTTATTTTTAATATATTTATGTGCGCCTATATTGGGTGCATATATGTTTATAAGGGCTATATTTTCTTGTTGGATCAATCCCTTTAGTATTATGTAGGTACCTTTGTCTCTGATTATAGCCTTTGTTTTGAAGGCTATTTTGTCAGATGTGAGTATTGCTACTCCAACTTTTTTTTCGTTTCTATTTGCGTGGAATAATTTTTCCATCCCTTCACTTTCAGTCTGTGTGGATATTTGTTCTGAGGCAGGTCTCTTCTAGACAGCATATATATGGGTCATATTTTCTCATCTATTCAGCTATCCTATGTCTTTTGACTGGAGCATTTAATCCATTTACATTTAAGGTTATTGATAGGTAACTTATTTACTGCCTTTCCCCCTTTATACCTATGTTCCTCTCTATTTCTTCTTCTTCTTAAAGCAGTCCATTGAACATTTCTTGCAATGCTGGTTTGATGGTAAAGTACTCCTTTAGGGTTTTTTTTTTGTCTTTATTTCACCTTCAATTTTAAATAATAGCCTTGCTGGATAGAGTAGTCTTGGATTCAGGTCCTTGCTTTTCATTACTTTGAATTCGTCAAACCTTGGTTCTCGAATGTCTCCCATCTTGAACAATTTGCTTCTCAACCTGACAACCCTTTCATCCTGATACCTGTACGATCAGTCACACGTCTCTCAGGCGACAAAGTAAAGAATGGTCGATTATGAGTCAGTTTACCACTAAACCTCATGTTGTTAACATCTTAGGAAATTGTGCTGTGAGTATTTTTGTGTTTTTTGCTTTTGTTGCTGCTTATTATTAAATACAGTAAGTCACCATTTTTTTACT